TTGCAATATTTATAAGTTGTATTGTTGTTTGAGCAATTTGCATCACTAATTAAACGTCATTAGTTATAAACTTACAGGTTATTTGAATATCTATTTTGTTACTTCTCTCCTACCATGTTTGTTGTTAATTTAGTTATTTTGCAAAATATTGACATTGTGTAGTAGGTTGCATTCCTCGAACTAGAGTTATACCATATATTTTAAATGATTTCACTTAATCTTCATATCGTGTTTGCGCGCTTCACGTTTTCTTCTTTAGAATATTTAATTTAATCTCATATGTTAAAATTCTGAAATAAGAGATAAAGTTTATGGTTTTTTTTTTATTTTCTTCCATTTTGTTTACTTGAATTGCTATTGTTATAAAGAGATAGCCGTTTACATATTATTATTTTTCTCATTTTAAAACTGACATCCGTGCAACGCACGGGTGAAGAACTAGTTAATTTAACACACGATTATAAACTAATACGACCCCCCTTTATATAAAACATAAAATAAATAATAATAAACTAATACGAGTTTATTTAAAATTTTAAGGTCAATAATTACCTATTTACAAATAATAGAAACAAGTTTATTTTATATTATTGATTCCTAATAACAATATAATAATACTATTTACAATTAATACTAATAAATATGTAACACCTTCTTCTTCTTCTTCTTCTTCTTCTAATTCTTCTTTCCTACGTCCATTATTCTCCGTGCATGCAGTAACACCTTCATCAATATAACTAATCCAAGTTTATCCCAATAAATAATATATAATTATTAAACAAAATAACAACAACAACAACAACAACAACAACAATAATAATAATAATAATAATAATAATAATAATAATAATAATAATAATAATAATAATAATAATAATAATAATAATAATAATAATAATAATAAATATACATATACCTTGTACTTCAAGAACTATTGAAGAAGGGGTGATTCCTCTCACGGATCTTGTGTTTATTCCAAGCCAAAACAGTTTTGCCAAAAAAATCTAGGAGACGCAGCTTATCGGATTTGAGAGACAGGTACCGATCAACTTCGCCTTCACGAACAAGCCTAAAGAGTGCATTTGAGATAGACTCGTTTCCTTGGAGTACGTCCTCGGAAAAAACCCTTAAAGAATGACGTACTCTCTTGAATTTCTTTCTGGTGGAGGGGTTCATCCGGTCGGATACAACGGGACCGACGTAGGGTTGAAGTGCGTCTCTGAAAGGCCGACATACAGACATGGCTCGACCTTTCGCTTCGATCGAACCAATCCTGTTTAAAATATCGCCTAGGACTCCGATGGGCAGATCCGTAATTACAGCCATTGTATTATATTATATTATACGTACTTGTGTTATTATTTCTTCTTAATTCTCTTTCATCAACTTATAAACTATAACTCACATATTTATATTATTTGAAAGAACTAAAACAACCTCGAACACTACTCTTTTGAAAGAGACCTCAGATAATGTTTTTTAATTTATTATTCTTTTTTTAATTGAAAATGAAATATATATGGTCATATATAGCCACTCTTTTATTTATGGGAAGATTAAACACTTAGAAAAGAAAAATGGGAGAGCACAAGAAATGTTTATTTGAGTAGTGATATTATAAACGGGGAAATGTCGTGCGCGTACGTCCTTTTGTTTCTCAATTTGTATTTCGTTGTGTTTCTTTTTCTCTCTATTTCTCGTTTCGGTATATTTCTGACAATCGATCGATCTTTTCTAGCTTACTTTGAATTTTGTTGTGCCTTTTCTTCCACGTCCCCCTTATTTTTCTTCAACAAATTAAAGTTGAAAGTGATTTTTCTTCCATCAATTCTTTAGATGTTTGTCACAATTTATTTTGTTAATGCATTAATTAGTTTCAGCAATTTAAAAGAAAAAATTATATTAAGTATTTTGTGCATGGGGTTTTTGTTTTGAAAAGTTGTAATAAGCCATCCTTCAATCATGTGATTCTTATTCTCATTATATTGGTGGATATATATATCAAAGCAATTTAAGCGAAATTAAATTAAATGAATACTACTCCAAAAAGCTCAAACATGGCAAGCATGCTAATTATAAATTCTCCATAATCAATATTTAATCAATCAAGCCAAATATATATATATATATATATATATATATATATATATATATATATATATATATATTGGTAAGAACAGAACATCTGGTGTATTTGTATGATGTATGATGTAATTTTTATTACCAGAAACTTTTGAAATTAGGAATAAGATGTATGTTGAATAAAAGAATACATTGCATAAATAATATACATTGAAGTTTGAACTCTTAAATACATTGAACAAATAGTAGAATGAATAAGATATACGGAAAAAAAAAACTTTTTTTTTTTTTTGAGGAAAAAAAAAAAAAAAAAACTTTTTTTTTTACTGAACATAAATAATATCAATTATAAATTTATAATTTCACAGATTAGTAAGCTATTAATTAATGTAAAAATTAATAATTATTAATTTATCGATAAGTTCATATTTCGCTAAATTAATAAAATTTTGATGGTCTTAACCGTGTTAATTTATAGAAGTTTAACTATATATATAAAAACTAATAATCCAAACGTCGGCGTCTAATTAATTTCCCTCCTCTTGTTCGTCTTTCATCGGTAGGGGATATGCATTGTTCATGCAAGGCGCACCAATAATAGGATCATACGCCTGCGAACGGCACGACGGGCACCGGTTCTCCTCCAGCAGAAACCGAACGATGCAATGCGAATGAAACACATGGTCGCAGTAATATAGCTTCGATATCTGATCCCCAATAACAGGCCGGGTCGAACAGATACCGCAAACTTCCATCTCCTTAACCAATCCCTCTTGATCGACGTTTTCAACCCGGACCCGCTTAAGATTCTCCACAAGAAATATGTAGAAATCCGGGTCGTCGTCGTCGACCCGAAGCTCCCTATCGAACAATCCCCACAGGCAAACCGTCAACGGGATCAGCTTCTCCGGTCTCACCGCCCTTTCCATGGCCCCACCGAGCGCCTCGTCCTCTCGCTGGACGGTCACAACCCTAAAATCCACCGCCACCGGAATCATGATGTCGACGTCGCGTAGATTCTCCCGGACGAAAGCGAACGCCTCGTCGTTGAATTTATTAATCTCGTCTCTGGTCATCCAGTAGTCTTCCCATCGGCTACTTAGGTCCATATCGAGCAGTACGGTCAAACATGGATCCGGACCGTTTGAATCACAATCTACGGGGAAATCGGACGAGAATCTCTCGGAATCGATGATTTGATCTCCACCTTCGATTGTCTTGACGACGAAGTCGGTTCGGATCTCGAAGAGGATGGTCGTTTTACCGGGGTGGAGTGTGTGCTTGCAGGATGAAGCTACTTCTTCATCAATGGAGAAATTGTAGTGATATTCATATCCCAATACTGTAAGTGCTGCTGCCATTATTCAAGCAGAAAAGCCAAAGTTGGTCAACATATAAAGAAAACATTTGATACCTTCTCTTATTTATATACTAATCAAGTAGCATCTAATTAATTTCCTGGTTAATCGGAAAATTAATTAGATCTACACATGGTTATTTACACTAGGTGGACACTGTAGATTTAATCCATACAGTACACATATACATATGGGTGTATGTGATTATGTTTAATTCTACGGTTCGAATCTACGAACGTAAATAACCAGATGTAGCATCTAATTTTTGCACAACGCACAAGTTGAGTAATTACAAAGATTCCAAAAGGAAAAAATATTCACCTAGTATACATGCATGCATGCTAATAAATAATTATTCAAAAACTTCTTCATCAATATTTAATTGTATTTATTATTTATTTTTTGCATATATATTAAATGATAAAAGATCATGCAAAACATATTAAAAGACAATGTGTGTATATACATAATACAATAGGCATGACAATTTGACTTGAATATAGTGAATATTGTGCGTAAGGGTTATATACTAATTATATACACTTGGCATTTCAAAACTATATATATACTTGAAAATATCACTTAAACTATGAAAATCTTCATATATGCCCACAAAAAAATATACCTTTGCATAAAACCCCCTCAAATAATTAATCGTCGAATCATGATCGCGTGATCTCAATAAATTTAAATGAATAGTAAAAAATATCCTCGTATTTATCACGCATTTATTTTAAAAAAAATAGTAAATGCAGTTGGAATGTTACTTAATGCAAATTTCGTACATTACAAATGAATTTAGTGAGGAATATGTTGCAAATGTTTAATTGGAACTGTCATTTTTTCGATAGAAAATATTATATATAGGATTCAGATATCTTAAGCCTAAAAATATTTATCATTATCTAGACAAAATATAATGTTTTTTCATATTTTTAGGGTAAATTTCATTTTCCCCCCTTCTATTCTCGATTGCATCAATTTACCCCTTGCACTTGAAAAATTGTCTCAACGTGACCCTCGTTGTTAGTTGTCAGACATTTGATCAGTAACACCGTTTGATCTAAGATCTGATATTGCAAAAACTCCACCTCTCTCAATTTAAATAATTATTACAAAAACAAAAAAAAAATAGAAAAAAATAATTGAAAAATTCAAGAAAACGAGGAAACATAATCCACGACGCCAACCACAATTTTTTTTCTTAATAATTATTTAAACAAGGAGGAGTGACTTTTTTGTAATTTGCAAACTTAGATCAAACGGTGTGAAAGGTAAAAGGTCTGAAACTAACGGCAACGGCCATAGTGAGATAGTTTTTCAAGTACAGGGAGGCAAATCGATGCAATCAAGAGTAGAAAGGGGTAAATTGATATCGGACCAAAGTATTAGGGGGGAAAGTGGAATTTACCCTTTTTTTTTATTACCAATCAAATATACTGTGCTCCTTTTACATGAGCCGGATGGGCCATTTGGCCCACATTTTATATTTTTGGGTTCGGTTCGACCCGACCCGGTAAATTAGTAGCCCATTTCTATATTACTCTGTTATGGTGTGGAAAAAAGAAAGCTAAGAAATTAAAAAAAAAATGGCAATTCAATTTATTAATCTAAACCCCCTCTTATCCAAACAAAACCCTCTCATCATCCAAAATCGAAGCTCAATTTCTCTAACCAGAAGAGTCCAATTGTCCGTGAATGCGGCGGCGGCGGCGTTATCAGTTTCAGCGCCGTCGTGGGAGGAGCGAATTCCCCCAAATGTCCTTCGCCGGAAGCTCGACCCGACGTGGCGGGGCGGGTTCAGCCTAGGGGTAGATTTGGGATTGTCTCGCACTGGCCTTGCCATTAGCAAAGGCTTCTCCGTTCGCCCTTTAATGGTACTCACAAACACATTTTCAGTGTGTGCGTGTATGTATGTATATGTATGTATATATAGATGTGTGTATGTATATATGAGATGGGTTTTTGTGGTGGTTTTATTTTAGGTTGTTGAATTAAGAGGGCAGAAGCTTGAGCTGAGACTTCTTGATATTGCTGAAATTCAGGTTTTGATTAAAAAAATAAATTATATTTGTTTATATTAAACATTATATATTGTGGGATGAATTTTATTATTTTTTATTTTATTTAAATTATTAGGAAGTTGATGAATTTATAATTGGGCTACCGAAATCGAGTGACGGAAAGGAGACGGATCAGTCGAATAAAATTCGTACAGTGGCCGGGAGGCTCGCAGTTCGTGCTGCCGAGAGGTTAATAATTTCCATTTTATTCGGGTCCAATTCGATTTCGTTTAACGGATAATTTGCACCTTTGTTGAACATGACATACTGTTTCTGAACATGTTTTTCTAAATTATTTTTCCGAAAATTAGTACAATTCTCAAATATTTAGAGCAAATTATTTTTTAATAATGATTTCGATTTTAGGGGATGGAGAGTATATTTGCAGGATGAGCATGGAACAACTACTGAGGCTCTGGATCATATGATAGCCAAGTAAACTAAAAAAAATAATGATATATGGATTTATAAAAATCGAGCATCTCGAAATTTTATTTCATAATCATCGTTCTTTTTTCTTCTTCTTTACAGCGGCCTCAGTAAATCTGACCGTCAAGGGAAAATCGATGCGTATGCTGCAATGGTGAGCAATCAATTCAACGAAACCATTATTATTTCTCGAAAATCTGTTACATTGATTACAATGATGATGATATTCCCTTTATTTTTATTTGTCTATTATTGCAGAAGGTGCTTGAAAGATATTTTTCGGATTCGGGGAAGGGAATCGAACTCGTTGTGCCCAAGCAAGTGGAACTTAAGAACAAGTTGCTAAAAGGTCCACCCAAGGATCTCGATTTTTACCCAGAACAAAATCAAATTTGATAAGCTACTGCGTTAGTTAATAACGTATAACTTGACTTTAATGTAATTTGGGACGGTACTACGGATCAAAATAGGAAAAGTGAGGTTGCGTTTTTAAATACGTGTTTTTTTATTATTGTTATTTTCCATGTATGTAATACAATGGAAAGTTTAAAACTTGGTAATTATGAATTGCACGGGGGCCGTGCATCGGTCGAATCTAATCGGATTACCTCTTAAATTTGTCCTTCGAGCTTCCTTCTGAATTTTGATGTATCTTGTGACCTAAACGAAAATAATATTAATAAGACCAAATACTTTAGAACAGAGCTTTCTTATGATATCTATAATGGGGTAATTAGATATCTTACCGTGCGATAAAGAAGACATTATTTAGAAGCTGTGGAATCACCATAACTTTCTTCGAGACTGGCAAGCTTCGACACCGGTTTATTATGTTGACCCTCGATCTTGAAGATGGTGGCGAAACGGTAGTTTCTTCTTGGTTTTAGTTCTCCAAGAACTTCAGTTTACGGTCTTCCTTCACTGCTATTCCCGGCACAGGATTCGCCTAAAGCAGAAGTTATGAACATGAAGAAATGGAGTAAAAGGAAAATCATTACCTTATATAAGTTGAGACGAGGAAAAATGCGTCATCTTCAAACAGCTAAAGCCGACTAGAAATTGGCATTTGTAAAAATGTAACCTCGTACCTGATGGAGACCTGGTTCGGCTGTCAACCTGACGCTCAAGCTCAGCTAATCAAGCAAAAATCAGAGTATCGGTTCCGTACAAATGACAGTACCTATCGCCCGAGCCAAGAGCCCGAGCCGAAACTCTGGAAAACCGGCGCAATAATAGTATACCCACTTCAATTCTACGCAGATTTCCTCACCTTTTTGTTGGGAAAACATTTTTTCCCAGTTTAAAATGGAAAAAATACTCCCATTTTCCCCCTCAAACTACTTTACCCTAGCATTTTACTCTTCGACCAAACAAGAAGAATATTTTACTTAATATTTCCACTATTTTACGGGAAAGGTTGTGTATAGTTGGAAGCAGTAGTGAAAGTATACTGGTGATTCGGAGTATGGAGAGGCTTTTGTAGACACCTTACCACTTTTGCCATATTAGGACTCGACCAAAAGACCAATGCTTGGAATTAATTTTGGAAGCAGTTTACATGTAGGCTTCGTATCCTTGTCATCGTTGTGCAGACATGTGAGCTCACTCTCCAGCATTGCATAAGCATCGGCAAATGCCTGCATCAAGCAATAATATTTGGAATAAATAACGTCATCAATTCCAGTAAAGAATAATAGACAGGAATAATGGACAATATTAAAGCAGTATGAATGGTCAAATCAAGAATGCCACTTGACCTTAATACATTGATGTATACGAAAACAATTTCTCCCAACATTATTTGTCAGAAATAGAGGATCATCAATGTAAAGTGGATCGATACTGCAAAACAAATAGTTGGTGAACAAATGAAAATAGCAAATTGCGAAGGTGGATAAAAAACAAATCAAGGTGTTCTTTTACCTGCACCCACGTTCCCTATTTAAATATACCCCACTTCCCTGTACTGAAATACGCATCTGCCGTGGGTCAAAGACATTCCTGAACAAAAGATGGTCCGATCAATATGATGGATAGACATGTCTTGGTAAATGAAATATTGCCGAAGTACATTAAAAAAAAAGGTTTATTAATATTCTATGAAGCTTTTTACTTACCCAAAGAAATACAGAAAATCCATCAAGAGGCTTCCATAGTTCTACAAAAATAATTTTAAAAGAACATTATTTGACTGCAGACATGCGCACTGGTCTCAACAAAATTGAAGGGCAATTCAAGTTTACAGTTCAACTCAAAATTATAGTTTACATGGGCAAACCAGATCTTCACAAACTCATACACGCAGATAAAACACTAATGTAGAATATAGAGGGATGAAAACAAAAGGGTAGAAAAGAGTAGAGTATAGACCCTCCCACCCTCCTCCCTACATACCTTACCTAATTTTGGTTGCTAGACTAATGAAGAGCACACAGTTGTTAGATGCTTAGATGCTAATTTTTTTTGGAGATGGTAATACCAATCCAAATGGCAAAAACGTAAAAACAACAGGCAGAAAAGAATCTATTGCAATAGTAAACTAAGCAAAACTATCTCCAAAAGATCAACTAACAATACTTGATTTATAGGTCGGCCGTGATGATGCTCATGCTGCAGAAAACGTGTGATCAACAATATCTGTCAAATGAAGAATAACACGAAACGTAAGCAAGTTTATACAAGAGAGAAACATAAGTACCACGAAAAGTCAATTCTAAAATGCTGAAATTTGAAGAGGTATTACAATGAAACTTCAGAACACGAGCAATATTGAATAACTAGGAATAGGTCTTCAAACGGGTGAGAAACTACAAATCTGCTGTAATATTTATACAACAAGAACTTACCAGGCAATATGAGCTTAAACCACCTGAATAAGACTGGTCCAAGCTACGGTCAGCCAAGAACTGTTTTAGCACCAAAGCAAGAGGCGTAACAGCCGGAAATCGCTCAGTAAGATCTTTAACCTGCACAGGTGAACTCGAATCATCAGAAAGTAAGAATGACTAAACACGCACCTCTGAGGCCAGGCAAAATACATTAAAGGAGCAACTGAAATTAAAAGGATCTGAATTCAACAATTTAGAAACATCCAAGTATCAGAAGAGCATTTAACACTGCTTTGAACCAACATATCAAAAACTTTGATGCAAACAATTACCAGGCCAGTTGTCAGAAGTCCAGTGTGTGTAGGAGACTTGAAACTAATGTCAAGACGAACTGATTCGAATCCTTCATTGACATCATTCCTAGTCTTACTGAACGTTGGTGTAGTGTCCTCAGAACCAATTGCATCAGCCTGAAAAGTGCTGCCTTCTTCAGAAGCTACCAGATTTGCTTCTTCCTTTGGTATATGAACATTTGACAGAGTGGAGACGAGATCTTGTGGAACCTCCACCACAAGCATTATGATAGGTATCTAATAGCAATGAAAAAAGAGGAGGTAGATGTGAGAGGCGAACAAAATGAATAGAAGAAAGGATAAATTTGTTGGTGGCATTACAGCAGTGTTTTCTACAATCTTGAGAGAATCACTTTTGACCCATTCCTGATTTGCAAGATACCTAGCAGCATGCTGCAATGAGAAAAGCTCCACAAAATTAATAACCTAGATCGATTAAAACATTAAATGATGCACTGTATTACTAGACATCCGGCCAAATAAAATATTGCTTCAATCAGAGGTAAATCATAGGAAAATAGGTAAAAAGAATTTAAGCAAAGTGGTGCTGTGGTACCTGTACAACAAAAACATGACCCATCCCCCATCACACACACAGAAAGAGGAAAACAAATAAGGGGTGGTAAACGGACGCAAAAGCCGATGAAGTAGAGAGACTTCGACTTTAACTTTTATCATCCACATTTAACTCTTACAAGTTTCAACTAGGTAGTGGACTCTTACATATCAACTTGGTAATGGACTCCAACATATTTAAATTAGACAAAATTAGATTGACTCATTGGTCCTCCATTTCACTTCAGTTAAGTGTTCTAGATTGTTTGAGGCCATTGAGGGGAATAGTCGGCTCAGACTGGAACTAGAGTTGGACATAGTTTGCATAAAGCATCTGCCTATACTGGATTGACAACTCTTGGAACTTGAGTCAATTATTCAACAATTAAGTATGCATAAAGAAACAAAAATCAATTGAGATCGATTTTTGTGCCTTCCAGCCTACCTGAAGGCAAGTTTCTTTAATGCCGTTGCGTCCCTCTAAGATCCCTGCTTCTTTAATAGGTTCCTGAAAAGTAACCGAATATGAGGCCGGATTTATAAAATTTATCTTGTTTCAAGAAAATGCGTACTACCAATATTGTTGTTTTCTCACCAAATTCCTGACAGGAGGAAGACAAACCACAAGGTCTACATCACTAGATGGCAGGGATAAACCAGTTGCATTTGAACCATAAATATTTGTTCTAGAACGAGGCCATAAGACTTGTAGAGACCGTGCCACACGCTTAACGGCCCAATTAATGTAAGGCTTCCTGATTAAGTTCTCAGCAGCAACCTTAAACATTCAAAATAATTATGAGCATCAGCAACTTGCAGAAACAGTATTCAGTAATACCTGCAGGTAGCTCGAAATTCAAATATAATACATGCTACTAATCTAACATTTTATACCTGCTTGCAGAAATAGTTGATTTCATCATGCAGAATATCATGAATCAGTGACAGAGATGCCTTGCGTGTGGAAGAGTTCTGTGATTCAGGGGGTTGTAGAGGAAATATAACATCTGGCTGAGGAAACAAGACAAGTTAGAAAGTAAAAAACGAAGTAAAACATAAGCCCTCAATGCCATCAGAAATTGCTGTATTGTATAAGAGAAATACATACATGTTCTTGATCACGAGCTAACTGGGAAATTGCAATAAGCCGATCCTGAAGCAATGTTCCAGCTAAAGGCTGCGTCAACTGACGGGCTGAAAGGCCTTTGTTCCTCCAAGAAGGCCAAACCACTTCACTCCCTTCTATGGGCATGCAAGCTTCTTCAAAGTTGACTCCATCATGGAGCCAACCTTTGACACCCCACTGCCTTGGGCTAGAGCTACCGGACCGAACAGTAGGAAAACCCCTATGTTTTCTCGAATCACTAACCGGAGAGGGAGGGGGTGGTCGAGGAGCACGTGGAACACAGAGGACTACAGGAGAAGGCGGCCGCTTAATCCGAGGCTGTTCTCGTCTGTTCAGAGGAACACAAGGGCTTTTATGGTCATAACTATACTTAAACTCTGATCTTGATCTTTCCCTCGACATACTCGGGATGATTATTGGTCTCAAAATGGGATATGGAAGTGAATCCACAGTCTTCATTTCTCCATCACCCGAAATATTGGAAATAGACCCAGAAACACTCTCCTCTGTACCACCTTCAGCCATCGTTGAGGAAGAATGCAGAACCTTGCTACTAATTTCACCTCCAGGGATAACATAACCAAGAGCCCCTGGGCCTAAAGGATCGAATGGAGAGCAAAAAGAAGCAGTAGATGGAGAGGTTAAACCATTTGTACTATAAGAAGAGGAGAAGGCAACCATATCATCAACAGCTCGGTTCATATCTGCTTCTCTCCAAGCCCAGGAGCTATCATCCGAACAAAGAGAAGGAGGCCGAGAGAAACTGGTCCCTGGATGATCAGATGAATCCCAATACATCACGCCACCACCAAAATATTGGTTATAATCCACTCCACTAATTGCATGTGTCTCTAACTCTTCTTCCGACATCCAGCTTCTGTCATGATCGTCTATTAGTTCCTGTGAATTCGGGACATCGTGAAAGTCCATCATTTCACTGGAAATGGTCCTTTCATCCTCAGAAGTGGCTGCGCCACACTGCACACTTTGAGCTGCGACACTTTGCTGAAAAGAAGACTGGCGCCTTGAAATGAACTCAGAGTCATAATTACAAGTAACTGATGGAACTAGTCTATTAACACCACGCACCGTAGGGGGCCAATCTAAACTCATTGCCGAAGGTCTAGTTATAACTCCATTATAAGCACTAATGTCAATAGGTGAATTTCTTACTTGTAAAGTTTGTAAAAAAGAATGGTGGAAATGATTTTGCAAATGGTGACCAACATCAAGATGCAATCTATCAGTAGCAGCAGGACGATGTGTATGGACTGAAGGATGATTGGGACGTATGTTGGGCCATTCATAAGAAACATGTGTCGGGGAACTTGTGGCCCCAACTCTAAGGAAACTAAGACTTCCTTGCTCCTGAACCATAGAGGGTTTTTTCACCTCTGGTTCGCCACCTTTCATTTGTTTCCCTTTACAACTTGATGCATAACTTCTAGAGCCAATCATTCTTGTGCACGACTTGTCATTATATTCGACCACAGGCTCAATGGCTTTGGCACCAAAATTCAAAGACTCGTCCACAGTAGTTTCTGTATATTGTGCAGCGTTATCTGTACTTAAATTACTGCCAATATCTGGATTTGCATCAGGCCTGTCAAAGTGACTAACAGCATTTTTTGACACATTCGCAAAAGTTGAACATCCAGAAGTCCGAACAGAAGTGGAGGGTGCCTCTTGACAACTAACAGAGGCAGGGGCAACTTCAGTCAATTTTGATTGACAACAACCAACCTCAGAACCATTGGAGCCAGAGCTTTTAAGTTTTTTCCTTTCTTTTCTATTCTTCCTTGGAGCGCCTCGTAATTTTCCATTATTCACTCCTTTAACAGGTTCCTGGTGGTGATCAATGAGTTAGAAACTAAGCTACCATTCATGTCAATTAACTTTATATAAAAGTAAAAACAAGCACAACCATAACATCTGCTGATAAGAGATTCCCCTGCGCAACATCCTCTTTTCGAACTTCACATTCGAACTTATTGGATTGTCTAATATCTTCATCTCTGATACACACTATTTCATCCCCTTTACCCTGAAATATCGATGAAATCAGTAAAAACTTTGCAATACAAAGAGTCCTCTAATTTTTTGATTGTATTTCTGGATTGATGAGGTTCGAAGAAATAAATACCTTAGTAGGATCAATAGGTTTCGAATCATCTTGACAAGGTCTTGGAACGGGATTTGACTTTTTATTGCGGTTCTTCCCCTTTTTCTTACGGTTATTTGCAACATGTTTTTCGGTTGATTTCTTTGCATGAGAGTTCTTGTTTCCCTCTCCTAGTAACTCAATTTTTGTGCAATCTAGGGAGATAACCATGAGTAGCTCTCGTAATTTTCGCAGTATGATGTCAGCAATGCTATTTACACAGTCCAGAGAGCTGTAAAAAAGTTTCTCAGTACCATGTCCACCATTCTGTGCAGCAGATGACAGAGCGGAAACAACCTGAAGAATATACAAACTATTGAAAATACAATACAATGGAGACATATTCCCAGAAACTTGTGCAGGGTTGGCATTCCATTTCTTCTTTGAACCTACTCCTCCGACTTTTGCAATATCTTGTCTATGGAATGAGGTCGAATCACGTCTCGGTAATCTATCGTGATCGCCAGAGGACCAAATTTTATCATCGAAGAAGGGAATTTTGCCATTTGCTATATCAGCTGTCTGAGATTTTCAATAAGAAGATATCAGAGAGTACATTTAACAAGAAAATGACCACATAAAAATGAAACTAGCAGATGATTATGCATAAGTTTGCATACAGATCCACAAGAAGATTTCCATTGAAAAAGAAAAAGACAAAAAACGGGTTGTGCCAACACGTGACAGTCGAACAAAACAACGTTTGGATTTCACTTATCACCGCTTGAATAAAATAAACAATGCGAAACTACACTCAGTAACAGAAATTCATAACAAACAGACATATCATATATCAATAAAAGTATATATATATAACAAAGTACCAGCGAGCGCGCAGCTTTTCCCAAGTAAGCAAAATAGACCTTCTTCTTCACAGAATCATCCAATTTGTCCCACCAATCGACACAGCCTTTCTTCCTCCAAAACAAATTCGCTGCCACACCAGCAGCATTCATCCTTTCCTTCAATTTTACCCCTCTTTTCTTCCCACTGTTACTATTCAACCAGGCCAACCTCAAAGCAACCTCCATTCTATTCACAACAAACTCCTCTAAACTATAATACCCCTTCGCTTTCAACCACCCCATCTCCGCCCACTCCCCCGCCATCTCCGCCTCCTCTCCTCCCCTCAAAAACTCCCCATTGGTAACTTCGTCCATAATTCCAACAAACCTACTCACATCCTCAACTAAACCCTCGGAAACACACGCCGCGTCAAGGCGGGGGAATCCATCCCCTTTCGAATCGCCGCCCTCGCCTTCCGTCGAGCTGAACAGCTCCACCGACTCGCGAATTGCGCGTCGGGCGGGATCAAACTCGGCGAATCGCGACAGCAGCCCGTCGGATTTCCGGTAGCAGAGGGTGGGGAGGGCAGAATCGTCATTCTGCGGGAGGTCGGGGAGGATGATGAAGCGGCCGTAGCCCTGCGATTGGAGCTTCTCCTTCATCTGGATGATGATTGCGGTGACGCTCGGGTGGACGGTTGTGAGGTGCGCGCGGCGGTGGTGCACCGAGAGGGAGGAGAACCATCGGAGCACGGCGGGTCGGGTGTTCGGACCCGGAGCCGGGTTCGGGTTTCCCCTGGGGATTTGGGAGTGGTAGAGGGAGATATGGGCGGTGAGGGAGTCGAGGAGCTGTTGCCTCGAAGTCATCGGAATATTCGGCGGCGGGAATTCTCCGGTGCGGCGAGGTGTTTGAGTGGAGAGGTGATCATCAAATAAACAGAAAAAGGAAGGAGAAGAAAATATAATGCAATTTGTATTAAATATTTATTTTTCATTGTTTTTTAAATAGCACTTACCCCCACTATAGTTTGAACATTATGCACGTGACCCCCTTTTACTTTTAAAAATAGCACGTGACCCCCTTGTATTAAATCATTGTTTTTGAAATAGCACTTACCCCCCCCATTTAGTTTGAATATTATGCACATGACCCCCTTTTACTTTTAATATAGCACATGACCCCCTGGTATTAAATCATTTTTTTTCAAATAGCACTTACCCACCATTTAGTTTGAACATTATGCACATGACCCCCTTTTACTTTTCATATAGCACATGACTCCCTTGTATTAAATCATTGTTTATGAAATAGCACTTACCCCCATTTAGTTTGAACATTATCCACATGACCCCCTTTTACTTTTCATATAGCACATGACCCCCTTTATTAAATCATTGTTTTTGAAATGGCACTTACCCCCTTTAGTTTGAACATTATGCACATGGCCCCCTTTTACTTTAATATAGCACATAACCCCCTTGTATTTTTCTACTTTTAAAAATTTCTTCTTCCTAATGAGCATGAATATTTACCAAATGAAATATCTAGGGGGTTATTTGCTTATATTAAAATTACAAGGGAGTTATGTGCACAAAGTTCAAACTACAGGGAGGTCATGTGCTTATATTGAAAGTACAAGAGGGCTATGTGAACAAAACTCAAACCACAGAGAATTAGTGCATTTTACCTTTTTTTTTTTAAGTTCTACAAAATCAAAATAATTTACAGAGTGAGAATCTTTAGCTAGGACTACACTTGTTAAAAGTTAGGGTAAATTACAACCACCCACCTGAGGTATGGTCAAATTACGAAAAATCCCCTCTTGTTTGGATAATTACAACAACCCATCAACTCCTCAAATTTAGTGGAATCTTCGATATTATATGGAATATTATCACTTTTGTACCTTTTTTATCCCATTCGAAATCTATATTTTGAAGCAAGATGATCATAATATGTGTTTTTTGGCTTGTATATATCAGATTGTGGTGTATCAGAAACTGTATTTTAACACAAAACGAGTACAAACTAGAGCACATTCCACGAAATCTAGATGATTATGTTGAATTTGACAACATAAGGGTGGAAGTGTAAGAAAAAATCATAGTTGAGGGGTAGATGTAATTATCCAAATAAGGGGTTTTTTTTTGTAAATCGACCATACCTCAGGGGGGTGTTTGTAATTTACCCTAAAAGTTATAATAGATACAAGATATAATTCAAGGGGGGAAATAAAGATTTTGGTAGTATGAGGGAGATAAGTGAAAGTTTCTGATTAATACAGGGAGGTAAATGAAATTAGCTCACAAAAGAATTACCCCATAGTCCCGTACTAACTTGTAACAAATTCATGCACTCCTTCAATTAAAAAAAAAAAAAAAATCGAAATTGTATGAACCCAACCAAAACCCTAATTCAGTAAAAATGCCCAAATCAGAATCCGAAGAAAAAGCATCATCATCTTCATCAGAAGAGGGAACCGATAATGAAGCGGCGAAAGGAAACGGCGGCGGCCGGAGAAATCAAGATGAAAAGCTACCGGACTATGAAATGCAGAGGCTGAATAGAATCGAAGAGAATAATAAAAGAATGGAAGCTTTGGGGCTGCGTAAAATGGCGAATTCCTTCATGGGAACTATTCAGAAATCGCAGACTGTGAAAAAGGGGAAGAAAAAAGTGTGTGATGAAGAAGATGAAGAATATAATCCAACCCAAGAGGATGAGGACGAAGATTCTTCATCGTCTGAGAAGAACGAGGTTGAAAGATTTAATTTTTAATTTTACTGGGTTCAAAGATTTTACTCTTATCATATTAAACATTTGAATTTTATCATTTTTTTTCTGTTCCTAAGTTTGATTAATTGTCTGTTGGTTTAATTTTGCATATTTATATATATGGTAAATTACGAAAAACCCCCTCATGTTTGGGTAATTAAAACCACCCTCGACTATGGATCTTCTTACGCGTCCACCCTTATGGTGTCGAATTCAACAGAATGTAGAAGATTATGTGGCATGTTGTCTAGTTTGTACTCGTTTTGTGCAAAAATGTTGTTTCTATTGCACCACAATATGATATTTATGAGTTAAGAGATACATTTTATGATCATTTTGTTTCGAAATGTGGAGTTCGAATGGGATAAAACGGGTACAAACTGGAGAATATTCCACATAATCTAGAAGATTCTACTAAATTTGATACCGAAAGAGTGGACGTGTAAGAAAATTCATAGTAGAGGGGTTTTTTCGTAATTTGACCTTACCTCGGGGTGACCGTAATTTAACCTATTTATGTATAGAACAGTATCACTTTAGTAGTTTGTAGGCTTAATTGTGGGGGGGAAAAGATAAGCTATGAATATCACTAATCTATGCAATATTGCATTATTTAAACGTGTTCTTATTTATATATTTGTCCGAACATCTCAAGAAAAATCGAGTAGCAGCAATTGGTTTCGGCATTTATTTCGAATTACATATTTATCTATTTTTAATATATCTCAAGTATGATCTAAAAAGAGAAATATTGGTCCAGGTGAAGAGAAACACTTCTACTTCTAAGAAACGAGGCCCTACACAAAAACCCACTCCCGATTCAGATTTTGTGGACGACGATGATGCTTTGATGCAGGTAATAATAAGAAACCAATTTCTGTTTTGTAGCATCTGTTTTTTTTTTTTTTAATTTGCGTTTTGTTTTAAAGATTTCGTATGTTTATATTTTAGTTTTAATTCAATAATTCTAAATAATTGTCGTTATTTTGCAGGCAATTGCTCTATCCCTGCAGGATTCTGCAGGGTTTTTAGATGTAAAAAGCAGCACACTTCCTCGAAAAAATCCCTGCATTTCAGATGATTCTGGAAAGAGGAAGAAAAAGAAATTGGTTCGTATTTATTTTCGGTTAATTTATCGGTTATTTGTTTGTATTCGTCAATTTATTCTCATGATTTTTGTATACTTATCTAGGGTAAACAGATTACCAGTCGAGTGCAAATGACCGAAGATGAAATGCTTATACACTTCTTCCAGTTTGATGGTAAATAAAATTTTATCTTTTATTGATTTGTTTTGACTATTTATTCCATGACAGCAAATCTATTAATACCAGACCAAATATAACGATCCTAATACGATCCTAATGATAATAAAATATTTTGACATTTTTTTCTGTTTTATTTACTTATTTGTTTAATTACTTACGGAGCCGATTATTTAAAATGTCAATAGAAACTGGGAAAGGGGGCATCACTCTCAGAGATATACAGAGACTAGCCACAGCACATGATTTTACATGGTCGGAAAAAGAATTGGCCGATATGATATTTTGCTTTGACAACGATGGAGATGGAAAGGTCGTTATCTTTTTCTGCGTTTTTAGAATTTTCTTTTTCCCCGACTAATACGTTACCTTACTTCCCAAGCAATAGTAATTTGTCACCGACTACCCTTAAGTGACGACATAGATCTTTTTTTTTTTATGAAATGTGAATGTATTAAAATGTCGTAAGAACATGTAGTTTGTGTCATATTTTGGCATTATTTGAACTTATTTGTTTTGTAAAATGCCCTTCAGATAAGCTTTGATGACTTCCGGAAGATTGTCGGTAGATGCAACATGCTAAAAGTTTGTGATGATGGTGGAAATGGTAAGTCGAGACTTGGGAACTGAGGATATATATGTTTTGACGCTGCTATTGTCTTGGTTGTGTTTTTTTTTTTTTTTTTTTACTTGTTTCGATACAAGGAAAAGGAAAAAATATGTAATAATGCCCGTTATTCAGCTTCCCGTGTAAATAATCTAATGTTTAACCATGTAACTAATTCTATGTTAATCTCGTAATCGTTTTGCTACAGGTTACTAAGCAAGGATCATGAAGAACTTCTCCGTCGTCATTGAAGCCTCACGAATTTCTCTAACTATATATATCATTATATGTATATACTTTTATAGTTCCTCCTGTTTTTAACATCGGCGAATTCACCAGAACAAGAATTTCAGAAACATGTACAATGACGGGGAGAAATAAAAGTAAACGAAAAACCATGATTCCATAAACAATATATCTCGTTATAGCAACGAAATACAAAATGTTAAAAAAAAAAATGTTGGTCACAACAACACGAAAGCATCTCGAGCAAATTATAATGACCGGTAAAAACGCATCTAGGAGTGTTTTTCTACAGTCAAACAAATATAGCTAATTGAAAAATAAATCTCTTATAGTTGACACATTTCTTCAATGTCCTAAAAAAAAGGAATTTGACAAGCAGACAACTGAGGTATCTAAATACGAATTTCAGACGCAAGTTTTCGATCAAATCATGTTCTCTTGAGAAGATACCCCAACAGGATTCCAATCAAGCCAACAATGATGACATACATAAACGGGATACCCCCACGGCTTCTGTTACTTTGACGTCTCAACAGCTCCTGCAAGCCCATAAGGAAATAAGTAAAATTACAATGGTTAATTTAACAGGCAGATTATCGATTTCCTTCCCATATAATGCAATAATCTGAAATGCTCTATAGTTGCAGTGGTCACAAGGCTGATTATTGAATCGTTGAAACAATAAACTTAACTTTGTGTCAAAGAATGTATATTATCTACAACTATTCGATATTGCATGAGCCAAGGTAAATATTCGATATTTAATATCATATATATATGTCATTCGTCAGTCTTTCCATTCTCAATAGAAATCCTAATTTTAGAGTTGGCCGAATTTACTCACAGAATCCCCAAAGTGGGAGGTTTATAGCCAAAGCATTTTATTAATAGGGTAGACAATTCGAAATCTGGATGCTTCACAAGGCACCAAGCCCGAATCGGCAATAGATTTAAAAACATATAAGTTTTTAGTTATTTATCTCTAACTGCAACAATTCACATTGGGCCAAAAGAATGCCGAGTGCAAGATTATTTCTAACAAATTATTTTGCATTTCATATTTACTTCTTTTACGTGTGGGGGTGACAGTAACTACGAAGAACTGACCCACAAAAATCAAGATTCAAGAAACAGACAACATATGATTACCAGTTCTTGCTGAAGCTTGTTGTTTTGCTGAACAGCAGAATGTTTCTCCTCGGTCAGCTTTGAAATCAGGGCCTTCACCT